TAGTCCCCAACGAGGGGTGGGGCCGTGTGCGCCCCCAGATATCCCACAGAGCACACACAGCCCCCCCCCCGTTGGTGGCGCCAAGCGGCTTAAGCGCCTGGGCCACCCGGGAACCCAACGCCTGGCGCCAAGAGGCTTAAGCGTCTGACCCGCCTGGGAACCCAGCGCCTGGCGCCAAGGGGCCCAAGCGCCTGGCCCGCCCAGGGTCCCAGAGCCCCCAACAGCCCCTCCCTTCTTATGTCACTACACATCGATCGATATCAATGTTGCAGCTAAATTTTTTCTACCAAACACTCACATATATTCTACTACAAAATGTAAGTTGGTTTCCACTGTTAATCAACTAATGCAAAACATGTTGGGTTTCTCTATTCATTATAGTAATCGTGACTTTATCATAAATTATCCCAATGAAGACACCTACAGTGATGTATTCTTTTCTTTGGAGCAATCAAAACAAATTCTGCCATTAGGTTAATCTTGTTCGTTTATACTGGCTTTTTAAGAGTAAACTAAGGATTGAACTAACAACCTTCAGTTTGAGACTGACAGTACTTACTGCACATTCTATGGTTCATTCAGTAAAGTCACGTATAAAAAATAACAATAAAATAAATTAAGTGAATATTATTTTATTGTTATTTTTTCTATCTACGTGACTTTACCGAAAGAACAATGAATATTAAATCCTGCATTCACGAAAGTCTTAAGTCAAAATGGAGTACTTACTGCAGTCATGAGACTGCAGCAATATACCAGTTCAGAGGTTGGCAACCTGTGGATCTTTAGCCGCATGCGGCTCTTTAAGGACTGATTCATGCCGTTATTGCGACTCTTGAAATACAGGTAGTCCCCGAGTTACGATGGAGATGCGTTACGACTCCATCGTAAGTCAAAAATATCGTAAGTCGAAGATGGCCTAGCCTACCCAGGAGTCTTAAAGAATGGTGATAATTTAGCAAAACAGAGCAATTTACAGTACCGTACTGTATAAACTATATACTGTATGTATTTATTAATTACAATACTGTATTGCACAGTAAAATGTAAAGTAAAAAATCAAGGTAAATTCTTAGCCTACCTATATGAACTGCAATTTAATAGAACGTTTTTTCAGGAAATAATCCTATCTGCTATCAAACCTTTTAACATACGTACATCCCGGCAGCGTCTCAACGTACAGTATCGTACCTCGTACGCTGATGCGTTTGCCTGCCGCGTGAAATTTAAAATATTTAACAATTTTGTCGTATCGCTATCGCCATCTTAAGATCGAAATATCGTAAGTCGGACCATCGTAAGTCAGGGACTGCCTGTATTGAGTTTTTCTACCGAATTCAAGAAAAAAATGCTCTTCATGTTAATTGGCTCTCGTTTGATACATTCGATGGCATAATAAATACATTCGGTTTGAAGTGGAAGGGATATAAGGATCACGTCAACGAGAACATAGGAAGGTGATACCCCACAATGATCTTCAGAATTGCCTCTTACGTGTGGAAGTGAGGACACTATTTGTTACTGGAGGGCAACTAGCCATGCATGGGGGCTCTTGCGAACTATTCAAGGAGGTAAAGAAATTAATATAAAGATATAACATAACAGTTGTTGCGTATCAGAATACAAGGGCGGTTCCAGCATGAACAAACCAGATAAATGTAATGGGAAACTTATACTGATTGCTTGTAAAATAAAGTTCGACGTAATTTAGTGTGGTTAAGAGTTAGACCACTTTATACTATGGAGCCTGATGAGATTTTTTTTATAAAAGTAACTCTTCATATGCAAATTTAAATACTGTTCATCAGGAATACATTTCTCAATGTAATTATTATAACTCTTCTTGGTTCTTTCGGTAAAGTCACGTAGAAGGGAAGTAATAAAATAATAAAAATAAAACATAATAAAATCAAATAATTCTCACGACGTTTCGGCTACAACGCAAGCAGCCGTCTTCAGGTGAAGAATGAGACACTGTCAAGCTAGGAGCTTATATATAAGCTGAGTTGGAGGTGGAAGAAGAAGAGAGCCTTAACAAAAGAATGTGCATATCAAGAGGAATTTAGCATATTCATGGGAAAATGCGTAGGAGGTGGGCGGGGGGGTTTCAAAGTCATATTATGCCCATGCATTATGCAGGATCAGCAGCACCAAAGGGAGGGGGGGTAGCATTAACAAAGGGAGGGCATGTTAATAATATGTAGAAGCAATGAAACATGTGAATGGGAGAACGGTGGCAGGAGACCCGCAGCGGAGCAAATAATGCATTCCCTGTGGAGAACACAAGATACACAGTTAATGCCAGTGAGTGGACTGCGGTCTGAAAGTCACCATAAACGTGAACAACAATCAGTTAAGATCCGAAGTGGTTTATTACGTCCTTCCAATGATTGTTGAGCCAGAATCCATCTTCTCGGTTGAAATTGTCTCTGTTTGTATATGTGGATCGCCTCATGAACGAATCTCTCATGGTAGCCAGATGGCTTGCAGAGAACCTCTGTCTTGGAGAAGTCAATGTCATGTGAGCCCACTAAATTGTAACAGTGATCTGCCACGGCTGAGATGTTTGTCCTACCGTGTTTCAGGTCTGCTTTATGTTCACGGATGCGATCCGAGACATGTCGTTTGGTTTCTCCAATGTAACTGCTACCACAGAGGCAACTTAGTTTGTAGACGCCAGGGTACTGTATGTCTGGAACCACGTCTTTTACAGACGGGACCAGATCACGGATTTTATGTACTGTGCTGAATCTTGTGTTTAATCAGGATTTTGGAGATCTTTTTTGTGACCCCAGCAATGTAGGGTAAGGTGATGGTTTTGAAAGGTTCCTCAGCAGGATCCTTCTTGACGGTTGGAGTGATGGCCTCCCTTTGGTGCTGCTGATCCTGCATAATGCATGGGCATAATATGACTTTGAAACCCCCCCGCCCACCTCCTACGCATTTTCCAATGAATATGCTACATTCCTCTTGATATGCACATTCTTTTTGTTAAGGCGCTCTTCCACCTCCAACCCAGCTTATATATAAGCTCCTAGCTTGACAGTGTCTCATTCTTCACCTGAAGACGGCTGCTTGCGTTGTAGCCGAAACGTCGTGAGAATTATTAGATTTTATTATGTTTTATTTTTATTATTTTATTACTTCCCTTCTACGTGACTTTACCGAAAGAACCAAGAAGATGAATCCCTGCAGTCACGAAAGCTTTAAATCGAAATTTAATTATTACTAGCTTTACTACCCGGCTTCGCCCGGGAACTTGGATTCACCACGCCCGGCCGCCTTTGTTTCCCCAGTGACGATGTTCACACACCACACGAGTTACTCGTTTGAGGCTGAGTCGACCTAGGGGAGGCCCAGGTCCAGTTCAAATAATCGTCACCGGTGGTGGCCGTGAGTGGGAATCGAACTCGGGTCCCCGGGTTCGTAGCGTGGCGCGCTAACCACGACACTACAATGCATTACGCTTCCGTTGTAGGATTTGTGTGAGGCGCGCCGATCCGCTGTAGGGTTTTAGTGAGGCGCGCCGATCCGTTGTAGGGTTTGTGTTAGGCGTGCCGATCCGTTGTAGGGTTTTAGTGAGGCGCGCCGATCCGTTGTAGTGTTTTAGTGATGCGCGCCGATCCGTTGTAGGGTTTTAGTGAGGCGCGCCGATCCGTTGTAGGGTTTTAGTGAGGCGCGCCGATCCCCCGCGATACAATAATACTGTGTAATCGCTATAATTTTATGATTTACCGAGCCTATAATAGTAATGTCACACATTGTGGTGGCGGGGGAGTGAAGAGGACGTGTAACTTTGATGAATTTACCTCAGAGTCGCGTGGTGGGTGTCGAGGCCTAGCACCGTGCAGAGCCTCCGGCCTCGCCTGATTTTCCCACCCGGTTGAGGCTGGGTACGGGTGCGGTCCCCCCCCCCCCCCCCCGTGCTACAATAATACTGTCTAATCGCTATAATTTAATTATCGACCGACCCTATAATAGTAATTGCACACATTGTGGTGGGGGGGGAGTGAAGAGGACGTGAAACTTTGATGAATTTACCTCAGAGTCACGTGTTAATGCGTGCGCCTATTTTTAAGGGGAATAAAAAATGGCGTCCACCCCTTGGCGAAGGCGTCGCTACCCGTTGCCAGGGGCAACCGCCGTCCAATGAAAGCGGCTAAGGCGTCGCTACCCATTGCCAGGGGCAACCGCCGTCCAATGAAAGTGCGTATGGTTCGGCGACACACAGACACACAGACAGATTCACGATTTTATATATATATAGATAAGTAAAGTGCGGTCTCCAACTCTTATGCTCTTTATTTCTCTTCCCTCTCTATAATCTATATATATATAAAATCATGAATCTGTCTGTCTGTCTGTGTGTCTGTGTGTCGCCGGACCATACGCACTTTCATTGGACGGCGGTTGCCCCTGGCAACGGGTAGCGACGCCTTCGCCGCTTTCATTGGACGGTGGTTGCCCCTGGCAACGGGTAGCGACGCCTTCGCCAAGGGGTGGACGCCATTTTTTATTCCCGTTAAAAATAGGCGCACGCATTAACACGCGACTCTGAGGTAAATTCATCAAAGTTTCACGTCCTCTTCACTCCCCCCCCCACCACAATGTGTGCAATTACTATTATACGGTCGCTCGATTATTAAATTATAGCGATTAGACAGTATTATTGTAGCGCGGGGGGGGGGGGGGGACTGCACCCGTACCCAGCCTCAACCGGGTGGGAAAATCAGGCGAGGCCGGAGGCTCTGCACGGTGCTAGGCCTCGACACCCACCACGCGACTCTGAGGTAAATTCATCAAAGTTACACGTCCTCTTCACTCCCCCGCCACCACAATGTGTGACATTACTATTATAGGCTCCGTAAATCATAAAATTATAGCGATTACACAGTATTATTGTATCGCGGGGGATCGGCACGCCTCACTAAAACCCTACAATGGATCGGCGCGCCTCACACAAATCCTACAACGGAAGCGTAACGCATTGTAGTGTCGTGGTTAGCGCGCCACGCTACGAACCCGGCGACCCGAGTTCGATTCCCACTCACGGCCACCACCGGTGACGATTATTTGAACCGGACCTGGGCCTCCCCTAGGTCGACTCAGCCTCAAACGAGTAACTGGTGTGGTATGTGAACATCGTCACTGGGGAGACAAAGGCGGCCGGGCGTGGTGAATCCAAGTTCCCGGGCGAAGCCAGGTAGTAAAGCTAGTATCTGATATTAAGAACACCCATTGCCTAAAACATCGTTTATCATGTTTCCGGTTAGGCAGAATTATTAACGATGTGATTTTTTTTTCTCTATGGGACCTTTTAGCCACTATCCAAAATGTTTTTGCCAGTATCATATTGAGTTATTTTCTTATTTGTGCCTGTGCATCATTGCTCACACAGTATTACCAAATAGTTTGTGACAATTATGTAAGATACGAATAAACACCAGTGTTGCATTTTGTATAAGGCAATAACAATGACATGTATACTTGTACTCTTAGTTCTTTCGGTAAAGTCACGTAGGTAAAAAATGCAGCAAATCTGGCTGTGACGGTCCCACCTGATGACAGAGACTTGTGTTGCCTCCGAAACGTCGTGATTTTTATTGTTTTATTTTTATTAATTTTAATTTCATTTTTTACCTACGTGACTTTACCTAAAGAACTAAGAGTATGAATCCTTGCAGTCACGAAAGCTTCAAATCTAGAATTTATACTTGTGTTTCAGCATTTGATTGTGGATTTATTTGTGCGTTATTTTGTGGTTGTCATGTGCATTTGTTGATGTGTTTTAGTGGTAATAGTTGTTTATAGTCGTGGTTGTTTGAGCGGTTGTTTTCTGTGGTTGTAATTGAGTGGCTGTTTGGCATGTGTTTGTTTTTTAAACCCAGAGGAAGGATTGACCAATGTTACGCATTGTTTTCTACTATCAAAGTAATTTAGACACCAACCTACTGCTACTTAAATAAGTCCAACATCACTAACTTGGTTTACAGGATTTGGTGATCAATTGTATCAATGCCTTATCCAAGCCTATGAAGACAGCTGAGTCGTTAGTTGTTTCTATTGTAATGGTGTCTATATATGTTTTCTAATGCATTTACTGCATGTATAAAATGCTTGAAAAAAGTCACAATGTAATTGTCACCAGAAATTTCACTGCCACCTATAAATAGACTATGAACAGGGGAGCATTGTCTCATTATCTATTTCTACGTTTATGTACTCGGGCCCCGGGTGACTTGTGAAAGAATGTATGAAATGAAGGTTAACTATTTTTGGGCAAATTCGCTGAAGTAATGGAAGATGTTTGTAGAAAACTATCATCTCTATCTATAAACTAACGTAACATATGATTAAACGATTTACTAGAAAAAGTTAAATTGATTCACTCATTGTTGTACAACAGATTTATACCATTTCTTTCACCTATCGTGATGTATTGTTGTTTTACATAATCTATTTCCAATGCGTGCATGTGTGCTTGGACATTATAGACTCAAACCAGCACACACTACAGCACTCTTTAAACTATGTTCAATTGCGGAGATGAAGCCCCAATTTGTAAGATTTTGGAGCCTTGGTGATCTGCAATATATAATCCAGGGTTGGTGGAGAGACCAGATCAGGCCAGATAAACTCAAAATGCTGCAAAAGAGATGCAAAGAAAAGGAAGAGCTCCATCTTTGCTAAGTTTTCCCCCAGGCAGACACGGGGACCAGCAGAGAAGGGCAGGAAGGCATCTGACTTTACAAACTTGCCATCCTCATCAAGGAAGTTTTCTGGACTAAATTCGTATGGGGTTTTCCAATGATTTTCATCACTCAGAACCGATTTCATATTCACCAGTATGATCGTCCCTTTTGGAATCGAGTACTGGCGTAACTTGACGTCTGTGGTGGTGGCATGCGGGACCCCGAATGGAATAATGTTACTGAAGCGCTGTATCTCATGGATCACAGCATCCAGGTAGGGCAGACTGTGTCTGTCCTCCATGCATGGTAGTCGATCTGATCCCACAATCTTGTCAATCTCCTCATGGCACTGGGCTTGTATTTCAGGGTGCATCATCATGTAGAGAAGGCCCCAGCGTAATGTGGTGGAGGTCGTCTCTGCGCCAGCAGTGAAAAGGTCCAACGTCAACATGATGAGACTCTGTTCTGAGAAGCTGGTGTTGGGATTGTCCTCTTTCTCCAATTGAGACAAGTAGGTGTCAATCAGGCACATTGGCTTGAGGGGATCTCTTGTTGCATGGCGTTCAGATATTATATCACGAATAAACTGTTTAGATTTTGCCATGTTTTTGAATATTCTCTGCTGCGGTCCAGGAAAGTCGATCAAGAAGGGAAAGATGTTGCATAAAGTTCCCAGCGGCCCTGATTGGAGCTGAAGATTGTTTTCAATGAGGTGCAAAAAAACCTGGAACTGCTTATCACTGTATTCATACCGTTTCCCTTTCACCATGGAACAAATTATGTTTCCCACAGCACTGTTTAAGTTATAGTGAGGGTCAAATGCCGATCCTTTCTGTTTAAATGCCTCAATTAAGAAGCCAACCTCTGTCTGAATGGTTTGTTCTATGGATGACTTACCAAGTCCAAAATTCCGCAATGTTGACAGAGTGAACCTACGATGTTGCATCCAATATTTTCCATATGGAGCAAAAATAATGCCTAGGCCTTCGTTTACTTTTTTAATGAGGGGGTTGTTTGGCCGGTCTGCAAACGCATGCCCTTGATGCACTAGGACCTCTTTTACTGCCTGGTAGCCACTCACAAACACCATGGAAATCTTGCCCACCATTACGCTGCACACCTCTCCATACTGTTTCGTAACTTCCTCTATGGCAACATCGGGTTTCTTAAACAGAGGCACATTCCCTATAAACGGTATCACTTTTGGGCCAGGAGGAAAGTCCAATGGGCGTTTAGTTGCCTTTACCTCCTGGAGTATAGTCCGAAGAACCAGGAAAACTATGCAAAATATGGCCAGGCTGATCAGTGCCTGGTGCCCCAAGAAAGAGCTCCATTTCTGAGCAGCAGCAGTTGTGTCCAGAAGTTGGCCCATACTGTACTGCAGGTTGTGCGATGTAGTAAGATGAGTACTTCTCTCGATTTTTGATGAAGACGGTGTTCTGCACACACATTCACACACATGCCAAGTGGTATTATGATATATGATTTCCTGAACATTGCATTTATCACATGGGGCCTTAAAACAATAAACTGACAGACTAGTCTCTGATTAGATACGGGCAGTCCCCAACTAAAAAACTGGTTCCGTTCCTGAGACCTTTCCATAAGTCGCACGGAACGCAATATACCATATTTAAATGTCCATACAGTCAGTTATAAAATGTGTTACGGTTGAATAAAAAAGGGAGACATTATATAGGTAGGAACAGCAGTTCCACACTGCCCACCAGGGATTATTTGTCTGTCTGTTGTGCATAGCCACGCCCTCGATTTGTAATTCAAAGAGCGCTTCGGGAGGGCTCAGCACCACGTGACACACTGCCCACGCAGCTGCGCCGAGTGACACGGATCGCAGGATTGTGCTGTCCAACCAAGTTCCTAACAGCCCACTCTGAAGGAACGTGTTTAACTCATCAATGAGAAGAAATACTGTGCATTTGCATGTGTAGTGCATCAATAAAGACATACACACCACGTGAGTTGATGCGAGTCTTTTATTAACACTTCCCTTACGGGACGAGTCCTATAATTGGTGTAAACGTAACTACCCCTATGTAACATGGCTTCACAGTCTCACGTCCCAGTCCCTGACGTCCACACTTATATACACTCCTTCGCCTCGGCATTTCTCCCACTTTAGTAAAAAAATTATAGCAGTGATTTTCACACCTGATGATGATTGCTTGTGTTGCAATCGAAACGTCGTGATTTAATTAACTTTTATTTTTTTCTATTCTATCTCTTATTTTTATATATTTTATTTTTTACCTATGTGACTTTACCGAATAAACCAAAGAGTATGGATCCTTGCATTCACGAAAACGTCTAGAATAAAGTAAAGTAACATGAAATGAAGAAAAAAAATTGTATTTCCATTTCAGTCCTGATGTGGCACGCGCGACCACGGGGACACACACACAACAATGACGATTCCTGCCCGTATAGCCTTAACAGACTGTTGGGACAAGTGCTGTTAGCGAGTAGCACCAATGAAGACTGATACGGCACACGGAGTGCATTTCCAGCACCACGCCTTTTGACTCCCCAGTAGTGATATTTACACACAAAATCAGGTACTAATTTGAGGCTGAATCGACCTAGGGAAGGCCCAGGACCCATTTAGGTAATCGTCACTGGTATTGATCGTGATAAGGAATCGAACTTGGGTTACCTAGTTCGTAACACGAGCGTCTGCACGGGCACACTCACTTTTACGACGAGGTCCTACCGATGTAGGGCTGTATTTGTTTTGTTACGTGTTGTGCTAATTTGTACGTGGCAGAGCCTATTGTACTAACTATGGGTCTTAATGTGACATCAAGCTCGTTAATTTTTGGAAGCCTATATAGTCTTGGTGGTTTTGATTCACAAACCTGATGCACCAATAAGACCCATAGTTAATACAATAGGCTCTGCCACATACAAATTAGCACAATACGTAACAAAACCAATACAGCCCTACATAGGTAGGACCTCTTCGTTAATCAAAAACTCTGAACATCTCGTTAATATAATTAAAGATATTAAGCTTAACCCTAATGATATGCTCGTAAGTTTTGATGTGACCTCTCTGTTCACGAGGGTTCCGGTCAACGAGTCAATTACATTACTCGACACTGGTAACGAACAAAGGTTTAGCCAAAGATATCCCAAGACGAGCTGAACACTGTCTAAAGAACACTTCTTGTGGCAAGGTGACTCATATAAACAAAAGTAAGGAGCAGCAATGGGCTCTCCTTTGACTCCTGTGATATCGAATTTGTACATGGAAGATTTTGAAACAAAAGCAATAACTTCAAGCCTGTTTACGGAAAGAAAACGCATACTGATACCTATCTGAATGCAGTCACACCATCACCCCGCACAGAAATCTTCTCTTATCAAGACGCTCATTCCTCGAGCTAAGAAAGTGTCAGATGGTGACAGTCTGAGAAATGAAATTCAACATGTTAAAGAAGCGCTGCAAATGAACGGTGACAATGATGCACAAATCAACAGGGCATTGAATACCAAAACCAAATCAAATAACAAGAGCATTGAAACTGCCCAAGTAATTAAAACAATCAAAATACCGTACATCATGAGACCTCCTTTGCCGGTAGCAAGATATAGTAATAGTTTTTGACCCGTTTAACTGGCAACAATACTGACACCTTTATACACCAAGTGAGACAAGGATCTAAGAAAAGCTGTCTCGGGTGTGGACCAATCAATTTCAAGGACAGTGCATTCATTACCAGAGTTGTCTTTTTGTTTGCATTTTGACCGCAAGTGTTGTGGTTAATGCAAACATGATCCCTTGTATAAAGGTGTCAGTTTTGTTGCCAGTTAAAAGGGTGAAAAACTATTATTATACCGTACATTGTGGGAGTAACTGACACACTAGCCAGATATTTGGAAAAAGAAAACATCCGAGCAGATTTGGCACAGTACATAAAATACAGAAATTAATATCTGCTACAAAAGATGTATTACCGAAGCTATCAACAGAAGGCGTGTACAGGATTAACTGCACGTGTGGTAAATGTTATGTTGGGCAAAGAAGACGATTATTTAGCACGAGACTGAAAGAACATCAGAAAAATATTACATTATCCCAAATACAACTGTCAGCAGTAGCAGAATATGCGTGCCAACACGGACACTCAATTGATTTTTATAATGTTGAAGGTTTGTGCAAAACTAGCTACTACTGGCCAAGACTAATGAGATAATCTATCGAAATTTAAAGAAATGAAAATAATCTACATCATGGGATATCCTTTGCCAGTACCAAAATATGATAATGTTTTTCTATTTTTTTTCTGGCAATAAAACAGGTGTTAAGATGTTAAAACACCAAACTGAAACCTTTTACGATGAATCATATCTGCATTAGCCACAATGCTTGTGGCCAGAATACAAAAAAAAACATACTCTGATAATAGTATGCCTTTTGGCGTCTTCTGGTCTAATACCGTTTGAGACGAGGCTCGAAAGAAAGCTGTCTCTGATGTGGACCAATCAAATTCAAGGACAATACATATATTATCAGAGTGTTTTTGTTTGTATTCTGACCACAAGTACTGTGGTTAATGCAGACAGTTTGGTGTTTAAAAATCTTAACACCTGTTTTGTCGCCAGAAAAAAAGGAAAAAAAAACCTATTATCAAATAAAAATAACTTTAACCTTTCGGATAGCTACCGCCTTAGTGCTGCGTGGAAGCGAATCATAAAATAATAAATTATTTAAATGCATGCCTACAAAGGGCAGTGTACTTCAATAGTGATTACCGTTGGTAATCCCTAACACAATAGACAGGAAGGACTAGTTAAAAGGGCTCGCATAATGTAGATGCATAATGTGCGTTGCCTCATTAATCCCCCCCCCCACCACATTTGCAAGAGCACAGAAGAGTGTCACCACATCAACGCCTCTATATAAGGAACGAAACAGTTAAACTCCTCCACAAATTTGGATGTCGCCTGATGAAGCTAGTTGTAATTACTGGCGAAACGTCGTACTCAGATTGTAAATGTTGTGGCGTGGCTCTCCAACACACCGGTGTGCTGAGCTTGTGACGAATTTGCATGTTCTGTTGACGTGACAACCCTTACTAGTTGGCTGTGTCGGGTGGTGGCGGGTTTTAACGACCCACTTACGTGATCTAACCAAAAAACCTCTTATGGATATTGGTTGCGAAAGCCTACGTGTTAAACAGTTATTGGTATTATTAATGCATTATTGTAGTTTTGTATTTGATATAGAAACTGGTATTATAGTAATTACAATACTCTCTGAACTATTATAGCAGGTAAAAGTCTAATTCTAGATTTGAGTAAAAGTCTAATTGTGCGGCACACAATCAGAATGTTGCGAGTTCATATCCTTGCTGGAGGTTGACTCGACTAATTTTCCCCTGGTGTCGATAACGTATTTACAACTTTGTGGGGGCTACAACAGTGATTGTCATGGATAGACTCGCCCCGCTATAAGAATATTACCCATTTTCCATCAGGTAGGTAATTCCACTAACTTGCACTGATCAACGAGGTAACGTATGGTAACAAACAAGTTCTGCTCGCACTCGCAAAAGGTAGCCACTGGTACTTCCACGCCTCGCCAATGTCCCTTACCTCTGTCATATGCAGTAGTTTCAACGCATATGGTGCCCAACTTGCAAGGTACTGTGTCTGGATTTCATTAAAGTGACAACCGTTTGGCCAGTCCACTGTATATTTGCACTTTAGATTGCTCAAAGGCGCATCGTAAAAAAAAAATCTGTAATCTCAGTGCACTGCTGTTAGCTATAAATCACCACTCAGTCAATTACTGTTGATGTAGGGAAGGGTCTGTGACCGGTTCAGATATCACTTGCCCCACTGATATGAGTAATAGTTCACAATCAAAGGCCGGTCGTCACGTTCACAGTGCAGTGCATTAACCACTGTGCCACAATTCTCCCCGAACTCATGAGGTCGATTGGATAATCCAACGACTTTCTAATTTACACTATGAGAACTCCTTTACCAGTGGCAAAATATAGTAGTAGGTTTTTACCCTTTAAACTGATACAGAAACTGACACCTTTATACAAGGCATCATATATGCAATAACCACAACACAAGCAGTCAAAATGCATTATCTGGTCCAACACCAATGGAGACTAGGCTCTAAGAAAAGCTGTCTCGGGTGTGGACCAATCAACTTCAAGGAAAGTGCATATTATTATCATCATCAGAGTTGTTTATTTTTGTTTGCATTTTGACTGCTTGTATTATGGTTATTGCAAACATGATGCCTTGTATAAAGGTGTCAGTTTCTGTACCAGTTTAAAGGGTAAAACCCTACTACTATATTTTGCCACTGGTAAAGGAGGTATCATAGTGTAAATGCCTACCCCGAGCTCTCAATACTCTGATAGTGCGCTGTCTTTGAGTTGTACGCCTTTTGGCGTCA